AAATGGAGATTTTTTATCATGGTTAGGCGTAAGGCCGGTAAGGATTAAATTAAAAACTAGAAAAATGAACGGACAATCCTCTTTCGACAATTAGCTAAATACAACAAACATGAGTCATAGCTATTATTCGTTTATAGTATTTTGTCATGAACAAAATCTGCACGCGAGGCATCGGCATTGTATCACTGAGAGAACATAGATACCACTGGTCTTTAAACATACAATGTCCAGTCTCAACCTCTTAGCGAGATTGTTGCTCGTAGGACAACCCCCTCTGTATGGAATGACGATTATTTTAGCCCCCTAATTGTAAACTGCATGCGGTATGAAAGAAGCCCTTACATAACCTACCCTGGTCCGCCACAACGGCAAAGTTTTCTTCCAAGGGGCACATGACGTTGCTGATATCGAGATTTGAGTCGACTGAAAACCCGAAGGAAAAGGAGCTTGTGGGTGCTAAAAGCATAATAGAGTTCTTGACTTGTGTGAAGCTCTGAACATATATATATATATATATATATATATATAGCTCTTTGGCATACAAAGCTTTGCTTTCATGTCCAAATTGAGCACTCTACTAGGATGAGTCATTGCTGCTAGCATTATGCATGCTCACTAGTTTTTCTAGTTTGAGCACTCTGGCATGGCTTAGATGATCCCACATATGTGAGATCACTCGGGGTGGCTATATGGTCTTACCTCCATCCTAGCATCAGCACTGCACTGATGAGGCCCAGAAGGCCGAAACAGTACTGTCTGCAGTTATATATATATATATATATATATATATATATAATGCCCGGTTAATATGTTTGATGTAAACCTCTCAATCATTGAAAATTGAAATTTCTTCGATTGTGGTTGGTTACAGTATAAAAACTCATGTCATGTCTAAAGAATGGAAAAAAAACCCTTCCCCAATCCCCGAGGGGTTGAAGGTCAAAATCTGTATGGTTATTTTTTTATTGTCCGGGAGATTTCCCAGCTAGCCTCCACCTCTTGTGCTAAGCATGGTTTTTCTCAATGGCTTCCCACCATATCGAACAGGTCGTTGAAATTTTCTTGTGTCAGTAGTGAGTTTTTTTCGAACTGAAAAGTGTTCTTTCCTCTTCCTCTGGAATTTTTAGTATTCACGTGCGACGCTCGCGATCCGATCAACTAGCCAATCATGTTTAGAGTCCTTCAACTTAACTTTGAGGTTGACGTGGTCACTAGTTCAACCTTTTATCTAGGGGGAAGCAGTTGTGAAAACTTAATCGTTATGTACCTCTCAACTCAAATACGTTTTTTGATTGGACGGTTGAATATGTCACGCGCCGTGAATCAAAATACACTAACTTTCTAGGGTGAACAAAATTCACTAAGCCCCCGAGGAGACAACAACTTTAACTTTCGACTCTCGCGCGATAAGGTTGTTCACCGTGAAACCGCGGCAAATCTGTGTGCCAGCCTGCGTACAAAAAGTGATTTTTGGCAGTCATATTCGGTTTGGGATGTATCAGAAAATATTTTCAAAAATAACAATTAAAATGATTGGCCCCACTGGAAACAATGAGGATTGCTTTCCCTTGCCCCGATATGGAAACAAAAAAATTCTTATAACCTGATGAGTGTAACGGTGCATTTGTCTTTATTTTGCTTTATTCGTTTGTAACTGTTATTCGCACAGTCAAGGGTTGCTTGGTGTACATATAGACGCAACTAACGAACAAAGACTCTCAAGAAATCGCCGTTTGTGTCAACATTGGGACCGGAGCCATCATCACATTCCATTTTGTCGAGGTCACCAACGTTATTCAAGTGGAATTTAAGGTGATACCTTCCTTTTCTTAAGACGGGATACTGGTATAGCCTGTCTTGATCTTCACCATGTCCCCACTTTCCAACTAAGTACTTTCCACCTACTAGACGACCCCAATCTTGGCAAATGCCAGCTAACTCGCAATTGTCATCCACCGTCAATCTCACAAACGAACCACAGGCGTCCGGTTGCTCATCTGTCTGATCGCTGAAGTACCGGACCACAGCTTCACCTGAGCTGTTGGAAGCTGTGACCACGTGGAATGTGCGTCCCTATTTCTTGCGGCAGTGGAATCTCAGCTGAGTGAAGGACAAGTGTCTTCTGAGCTCTTCAAGTGTCAAGTGACAAGTGTCTTCTGCCATGGCATGGCACTTTTCTGCAGAACCATGTGTGACTTCCCTATTCCACGGTATGATGTCTCAACTGACACCTTAGGAGAGAGGCTTCCGAACTCAACATTTGACACCAAAAGCCAACCTCCTGAAATAAAACAAACCTAAATCATCTGGTGACATCCATGTAACCAGAATTTTGGACATTTTAAATGGTAACAGGACCGAGTGTAGTGCAATTGGGTCAGTAATCATACGGGTGATTTACAGAATCGTACGACCGCAAAGCGGGAGTCCGATTTGTTAATCACTCGTATCATTATAGACAGAATTGGACGACAAGAAGGCCTGTTACCAATTAATCAAAACTATGACAAAATTTTAGAAAGAAACTGGACATCGGTCATACGTTTTCACAAAAACCAAAAAACAACAGTTTAGTCGGCGAAATGCGAGACAACAGCGCGCACATGACGCGTTATGTTCACTCACACAGGCATGACGCCTTTAACGGTCCTATTACACTGTCAAATTACAACTATAACGCGCACACTGTCCTATTAGTGCTCAAATCGGCCGGCTGATGATAACCAATCACTTTCGAGAATTCTGCTATAGTTTTGATTCAAAACATAATAAGGATCTTTGTAGATAACGCACGGATAGCCATGACTAGAACGTTCCAATAGCAACTCTACCAAGTCAGATATACTCCTGTTGAAGTTCTCGTGTCTCAAAAAAAAATTCATTTTTCTTACCACCATATCTTTACATGTAACAATAGACCTTCAAAGGGTTTCCACTCTTCTCAGGGTCGATCCAATACTTCCCGTCTCCTTTGGAGTGTCCAGAGTCCAGAATTTCTTTACAGGAGAAAACCGGATGAGCAGAATCCCAACCTCGTTTACCTGCATAGCAAAAGGGAAGAATAATCATTTGGAACGAGGAGAGGATCAAACTAAAAGACAAAACACGCCACAGAGGTCTTATTCCATAAGTAGTTCCTTTCGCGTAATTATTAGATAGCTCTTGATTTTGGAAATTTTAATTTAAACTAAGAAAATCAGATGGAAAACCTATCATTATAAGGAAAAGCAAGAGATTTTAAATTTCATATTCTCTCGGGAAAGATTATACATGGATGTACCTGTGACACGAGAGAGCTCTAAAAAGCGAACTTGATTTTTTGGTTTGATTACTCAGTTGACATTCCTTCTTTACATCATTAGCATCGGATATGCTGTTGTAATATTGGCAGTTTTCATCTTGAAGGCATCTCTATCCACAAATCCTTGAAAAGCATTACAATCGTGTTTCATGTTCTCATCACTCAGTTTATTTTGGATACTTAAATAATACAGTTTGTGTGTAGTTAATTATCCTGTCTTAAGAGGTCATCTTGATTCTTGATATCGTTCAAAGGTGAATATGAAGAAGCCCTGAGAGTTATGAGAGTTGCGCGTAGAAAGCTCTTGTTGTTTTTACCCGATTTTGGGGCGATCTCACATTTTTTTGAGGGTGAACTGCTGTGGCCAACAGAGTATAAAGGGGGAAGAATGGAAATTTACTACCAGTGAGGGGGATTATAAGAATGTCACAGATCCTTTATTGGAGGTGGGGAGGGAATCATGTAAAGTTTATTGGACACAGCCAAAATCTTTGCCATCCGATTCGAGTTTTCGCTCATGGCACTTGAATCATTCGCATCCCGTCGGAAAAAAATATCACTGTGTCGGGAGGTATAACACATTCACGTGTTACCTTCAATTCTCTCGAAAACTGCGTCCCTGCTCAAGTCAGTGTGTAAAGACGAACTGAAAGCCACAAGAAACAAAGCAACACCACTCAACCGAACGGAACAGAAATGGAAACCAACTAGAAGCCCTCTCATCCTGTAATTTGAGAAAGAAAGAAAAACAGATGACCAATGTAGTTGCCCTTCTCCCTTCTTAGATGCAACAAATAGTTTTGATTGTGAATTTAGGGTTTTGTTAAAGGAGAACTGAAGTCCAAATTCATGTAATTTTTTTCACCGTGTATCGTACATTTATGTATGATGGAACAAATTTCCGTAATTTTTTTTCCCTCGAACGACAGTTTTCATCCAGAAAACGAAGGGTTTTTAGTGATAATTGGCTCGACATTTGACTGTGGTACGTCGGCTCAGAACACGAATGTCAGCGGTTCTTTTTGTAGCGTGTGACGTAGGTTATGGGGATGAAGGTAAACACAGCAAGAAACAGGCAAGTTGAATTCAGGACTGCGGCTTGCTCGCGGGAAAGAATTTGTGGTTTTCCAGGAGTAAAGATTGTGCAAGGTGAAGCAAAAAATGATTCAAGCGCCTCTCATATAAGAAAATTGGTCTTCTATCCAGGGATTGTGTAAGAAAAAATATTTTGGCTTTCGTAACCCTGTGTCTCTGAAACGTAGTTACGTGTCCAGATCATGTGCGGCGCATCTTTTATACTTGGATTGACCTCGATGTTTTCGGAATAGGGTCTCCACTTTAATTTTTCTTACATACTGGTAATTTAAGATATTTCATCTTCCATTCTGTTTCCCATATTTTGTTATTTACCTTTTTTAACATTAGTTTGCAACGCGTTTGTAGTCTGGATTTTGCAATGGCATGTACGATAACGCACGCTGTTAACAATGTCGCAAGAAGTCCAAAAGGAAATAAAATTTTGAAATTCGTGTTGAACTTTGGTTTATAAGTTCTCTATAATGGGTTAAATTCTTGGCTTACGCAAGAAAGGGTGTACAAATACGGAAGCCCGAGTTGTTTGAGTTTATTCTTCTATCTGTTCTTGGCGGTTGAGTAGCCCTCGTTGTTTTATTTACTTCGATTACTTTCGAGCTAAAAAATGGTATACTGCGCGGCGTTCGATTGTAACAACGACTCGAGGTACACAACTGGTATATCCTACCATTGCTTTCCGAGGGATGAAGCTCTACGATCACAGTGGCTGGAAAAGATCTCACGAGCGGATCTGGTCGTTTCGAAAAACTCCAGGCTGTGCTCAGAACATTTTATCCCTGACTGCTACGAACGAGACTTGAAAGCAGAAATTCTTGGTTTGAAACCCAGATCTACGCTAAAACCAGGTGCAATACCCACGGTTTTTTCGCATAGGAGACCATCAAAAAGACCTCGACTTTCATCGGAGAAACGTTCAGAGGAGAAAGTCAGAAAAGAAGTAAGTGAATCGCGAATTACTCTCTTGTAACTGGGTTGGGTTGTTGCAAAGCTTGGGTTGTTGCAAACTCTTGAAGCTGCTCATCATTTATGCATGATTGATAAAAAAAAATTAAAAGGTGAACGCAGTTTGAGGGCAATAACAATTTATATCTTAAGGGATATCACCCGAATAGGTTCCATTGAGAAACATTAAATTTTCACAAAAAAGTATTTCTTCTCCTTACGCAAAACAATATCCTGCCATGGAATTCCTTCTAGTTTCATGTTTTTTTTTCTGAGTAATCTTTGTACTTCGTCTCTCCTGAAAATTTTTGACCAATAGGTAAACAAAATTAAATTGTTTCAGAATAAAGTGATTATTCTTTAATTCTAGGAACATTATACCTGTCCCTTGTTAACTAGCAGGTGAACAAAATTAGTACAAATAGACTATATATAAGTTGTGGATATTATTCTTTAAATAATGAATTCTTTTAACCTTCTTTACTTCTATGTGAATAAAAAACTTAATACAACTGGAAATTCTAAGTTGAAACCAGTGCAGGCTTTCAACCAAAGGAGGGCAGGGTCAGGTGTTATATTTTCCAAGAAAATCCCATTGAATCATTGTGTAACCATATAGTAGCATAGTTTATCCCCCATACCTAAATTTTTTATTCTCTCAAAGGGTCACTAACCCATACCATAACAGAGTTAATATTTTTTCTGTTATAGTATATAGCCTCTATCACTGCACAACCTAGTTGTGGAATCGAAGAACATGCAGCTTCAGCTTTAGAACAGCCTGCACCTGTTGATGTAGTGAATTGTGGAGCAAGTACATCAACCTCAGACAGCCCATTATATCCATTCCCACATGATTTAGGGCCTAAAAGCACGTTGGTTGAGTCACAAGCAGTGCAGGTGAATTTGCCAAACAAGGGTGTGGATTTTGGGATCCAAGTCAATCTTCGTGGTCTCCATTTAATGATGAAATCTACTGACACCCAAGTCGAGGTTGATGTTTCAGAAAGCAGCACCCAGACTGAAGAGGTATTCCTTCCTGAAATTGAAGATAACAAAGAAGAAGCAACTGAAGCTGCTGCTTCCCCAGAAGTCTCTCCAAGAAAAGATAGCATCTACCTTCCCACAAAACAGGAAGATTCAGATGATTCAAACTTGTCAGGATCAGACAACGAACACCAAGGGGAAACAAAATGCGAAAAGCCACAGGATGATACCAAATACATTGTATTTAAACAAGAGCTATTTAAATTGTTTAAGTACTGTCCTGAGTGTGGTGCAGTTGTGATTAAGAGGAACCAATCCACACAAGGAAGCCAACTATTTGTCACCCTAGAATGTATGAATAATCATAAGTACTCCTGGCAAAGCCAGCCAATGCTTGAGGGGATGGCAGCTGGAAATTTGTTGCTGTCATCATCTATTTTGCTCAGTGGCTCTACCTTTACAAAAGTAGCATCTTTGGCAGATATCTTAAATTTGAAAATTTTCAGTGAGAAAACATTTTATAATATTCAAAACAAGTACTTATTACCTGTAATCAATGAGTTCTGGCTTAAAGAACAAAATTCCACTTTTTCTGAGCTAGGGGGGCGAGATCTGTGGCTTTCAGGGGATGGGCGTTGTGACAGTCCTGGCCATAATGCAAAATATGGGACATATACCATGATTGATCAGAAAACTGATAAGATTGTTGACTTCAAGGTTGTTCAGGTCAGTGAAGTAAACAATAGCAATGCCATGGAAAGAGAGGGTTTTAAACACTGTATGGAAAACATCAATGAAAAAGGGGGGGAAAATTATGGTTGTTGCAACTGACTGTCATGTGGGCATAAGGGCTGACATGAAAAGAAATTTCCCTGAAGTTGATCATCAATTTGATGTGTGGCACCTTTCCAAGAGCATACCTAAAAAGCTAACTGAAAAAGCAAAGAAGAAAGAATGTGCTGATCTCTCTCTCTGGATTAGATCCATCTCAAACCATCTTTGGTGGTGTGCCAAAAGATGTGGGGGAGACAAGGAGATGTTGAGAAGTGGATATCCATTGTCTATCACACTGCCAATATCCACTCCTGGGATTCAGCTGACCTGTATGAGGAATGTACCCACCAACCAATCCCTCCAGCTATAGCAAGAACTAAAAGGTGGCTTAGGCCTGGCTCCTCTGCTCATAATGCATTGAAGGAGGTTATATTCGATAAAAATCTGTTGAAGGACATTCAGCAACTAACACTAAGTTGTCATACTGGCAATTTAGAGGTGTACCATAGTGTGCAGACCAAATATGCACCCAAACGGCAGCACTTCTCTTATAATGGCATGGTTGCTCGAACTCAGTTGGCAGCACTAGACCATAATGCCAACACTGGTAGACAACAAGCCACTGTATCCAGGGGTGCCAACCAAGGGGAGCTGCAATATAAGGTAGTGTTTCCGAAAAATACAAAGGAATGGGTGGCAAAGCCCATATTTGAGAAGACAACCAATTATCATCTCAAGCCAATGCTTAATGCCATTGTAGAGAGAAAATGCTTAAAACCACAAGAGAGGAGTGCAACAGTCACAGCACCACACATTCCTGGAAACATTGCCAGCAAACCCCGGCCTCCTAAAGCAGATGTCATTGCTAATCATACTTCGAGATTTTCGAATAATTAAATACAACAACTTTGTCAATAACACAATCAAATGAAAATAAAAGCAATCATCGTAGCAAAAAACAATCAAAGTTAGGTTTGAGGTTTATTTCATTCAGGCCACGCAGCTATCCCTGGCAATGTGGATAATTTAATAACTGCAGTAGGGATGACATTCGTTTGGCTCTGCATGGCTTTTTACTGAATCACTATGCAGAAATGTGTTAGTAATTCATATCCTCGATAAGTAATTGTATATTTCACGCAAATTTTAGAAAGAAACTGTAACAAAAGGAAAGAAGAGCCTCTGATGTTATACACGCAAAGGATATGTTACTAATCATTATTAAAGGACATTAAGGATAAAGTTCAAAGTTCCAGATCTGCTTCTCAAAAACCCCACGTAATTACCACTCTCTTCTGGAAATGTTTTACGTATGGCCGTGACGACGCATGCTGGCACGATTCTCCGCCGGTTTTTTCCTAATACCCCATGTGCCCACCAAGTAAATTGTCTGTAGGCTGCCAAACGCCAAGTTCTAGAGAACAAGAGGATATAAAGTCACAAAAGCGATTGACTTAATTACGCGTACAAAATAAGAAAGAAAAAGACAGTTTACCTGTTGACGATAGGGTCAGGGAATTGGATTGAGCCGCGCATTGTGGATTGCAACCAATGCCGTACTCAAAACATCCGTGTCCAAGCACACAATACCAAATTTCGGATGTTCTGTTATACATCTAACACCTATTAAGAAGAAAAAGTCTTAACATTTTATTTCCCTCACTGTTTCAATAATTTTCATCCATCAGACCTTGTAATTGTAATTACAACTAAGATCGAGTTTGCAATTGTCCACCTTTTGTCACTCTTAGCAAAGAAGCGGTCGCTTCAAACAAAATACTCGTGAGAATAATCACATAATAAGTACAAACCTGAATTGTCGAACTTTTGATTAAGCTCCTCTAGTTCTTGGCAGCAGTAACATTCATTTGCCACCGGCATAAGCGCACAAGCGCCGCACAAACACCATTCGGTGTTTCCCATCCTCAAGTATTGTCTTCTTCGTGGGCTTCTACCTCCTGTCCTACACTCTCTTCCTGAGGTGGTTCTTCTCCAGGCTGATATACTGGTTCGAACTGAAATGGTTCTATTCCGCTCATAACGAAGGGTCGACGAAGAAGCAATTTGTATTAAAACTTAGCTGAACGATAACACGTTCTAAAGTGATCCCCATAACATACGTCACAGGCTCTTTTGGAAGACCGCTGATTTAAAATTGGTGCCCACGGTTTGAAAGCCGAAACAGCGCGAAAATACAAACTTTAAAGAAATATTTCTCCAAGGTAAGACACATTTAGCACAAATAACGCCTGAAATCGAGAATTTCGTCACTTTGGCTATCGAAAGAAATTAACTCGATTTTTGGCTTCAGTTCTCCTTTAAATACACTTTGTTATGCATCAGTCAACTTTGCACGAAGTACTGATGACGACTCTTGGGGTTAGCGTTTCTTTACATTTGAGTAAAGCGTGGCGGCATTTAACAAGAAACAAACCTAGATTACTCGTATTGTTTTTATTATGTTGTTATCAAAGTTAGAAGGCAATCTTCTTTTAAGTTTAAATTAACCAATTTTTTCCAAATTGAATGACTTGGTTACTCCTTGAAACCAGTATATTCTGACCTTCAGTTTCTTTCCACTCCTCTCGTATTTTTCTATTTAAAAAAATCTTTTATCAACTTTTGAGTGAGACTTGAGACAATAATTAAAAGAAATAAAAGAAACAGCTTGAGAACCCCTTATGTAAGTCAAGCATTAGTCAGCTTTGCACGAAGTACTGATCACGACTAACATTTCTGATTAACATTTCTTTACATCCGATTAAAGCGTCGGGGCGTTTAACTTTAATAGAAACAAACCTCGATTCTCTTGCACACGGATTTCTATGAGTATCGATTAGTCGCATCAGGGATCGGTGACAACTTTTTCCCATCAAACAAAGCGAGATTCGTCTAATAAAAAAAAAGCTGCAGGATGTAATTTCAACAGAGAGAGATGAAAAGTGACAGAATTCCCTCTCACCTTCTAACTCGTACATTTATGATTCTTAATTTGTAGATATATCTGCTGTACCATACATGTATTTCTGTGTTCCTATTTTCGACTCGTGCACGTTAAAATTGGCAACAGAAGCCAATATGCTAAGGGACATTTGTTTTTTCTGACGCCCTAATTATATCTCATCTTTTGCCCTCTAGCTACCCTACTAATAGTGTTTACTTTCGCTTCCAGACAATTATAATGTAGACACCTGGCAAAGTTGGTAGGGCAAGGTAAAGCAATCCTCACTGTTTGCCGTGGGGCCAGTCACTTTAATTTTCATTTTTTAAAGTTTCTCATACATCCCAACTCGAAAATGACGGCAAAAAAATAATTTTTATTGGCAGGCTGGCACACACATTTGCTGCGGTTTCACGGTGAACGACCTTATCATGTGGGAGTCGAAAGTCAAGTTGTTGTTTCCCCGGGGGCCTAGTGAATTTTTTTTATCCTAGAAAGTAAGTGTATTTTGATTCACGACTCCCGACATGTTCAGCCCTCCAATCAAAAGACGTATTTAAGTTGGGCATTGCATTACGTGAGAGTTGAAAGTCAAGTCATTGTTTCCCCGGGGGCCATGTGAATTTTGTTTATACTAGAAAGTAAGTGTATTTTGATTCACGACTCCCGACATGTTCAGCCCTCCAATCAAAAGACGTATTTAAGTTGGGCATTGCATTACGTGAGAGTTGAAAGTCAAGTCATTGTTTCCCCGGGGGCCATGTGAATTTTGTTTATCCTAGAAAGTAAGTGTATTTTGATTCACGACTCGCGACATGTTCAGCCCTTCAATCAAAAGACGTATTTAAGTTGGGCGTTGCATAAATGTCGCGTTCAGAGCTCTCTACAAGTCAAGAGTTATATTATGCTTTTAGCACCCATAAGCTACTTTTCCTTCAAGTTTCAGTCGACTGAAATCCCGATATTAGCAACGTTAGGTGCCCCCTGGAAGTAAACGTTGCCGTTGTGGTGGACCGGAGTAGGCTATGTAGGGGCTCTTTTCATACCGCATGCATGTTTACAATTAGGAGGCTAAAATAGTCGCCATTCCATACGAGGGGGTTCTCCTATCATATCAAAGGTTTCTGTATTAGAAAGTCCACTGAACTCACACGAGCGACAATCTCGCTAGGAGTTTGAGACTGGCCATTGATTGTTTGAAGACCAGTGGCATCTATGTTCTCTCAGTGATGCAATGCCGATGCCTCGATCGCGAGCATGACAAAATACTGTAAACAAACTGAGTAACCAGAACTCATGTCTGTTCTATGAGTTAATTCTCTAGAGTGGATTGTTCGTTCACTTTTCTAGATTTATATTTAATCCTTACAGGCCTTCGGAAACGAAAGAGTTCTAAAACTAATCTGAATGCATCCCCTTACGGAATAAGATTGACAGAAAAATTGATCCGTCAGTTGAATCGACAAATTCTCACCTGTACTGATCTGTAAATAACGTCTTTCTGATTTTCAAGATCTCGAGGATGTACAACATGATCTGAGTCACTCAATTCACAATAGTACGTTTTATCCCCCATTACTCCGATGTTGATCGACATACAATCTTCCTTTAAATAACACTGCAATCCACAATCTTCTGGCGATTCTGTCACATGCGCGCTGATTACGTGATCGACAGAAAAGGCGCTTCATTCGACTGAGAATTCAAACAAGAGCGTGCGACATTCATCTCATGATAATAAATGCATACGAAACGTCATTCGCTCTAACAAAGGTCTAACACTCAAAACGTCAGCTTTTAAGCTCTTTGTGGTGGCCAATTCACGTTAACAATTCAGTTGATAAACCAAATTATTTTGTCATACTTCCCCACCGACATAGCACTACTGTTTCTCTCAAAACTTACCCCGGGCCCTCTATACTTCAGACAGGGTTCCTCGTGTTCTCGAAAACTTGAACGATTTGACTTTGAGATGGATGAAATAACAAATTATCAGATTTGAAAAAAACACCTTGCCCTAATATTTATTTATATTCACGCGGAAATCAGTATATTTTCATATTCCGTGACTAAACAAAAGGGAAGGGCTAACTCGTCGAACCTTAATTGTTCTTTGAAATTAGTAAAGCAACATAAACTGCATAGAAAACCGTGTTTATCTCATTGACACCTTTAGGATGCGGTGCATGTAAAACTATAACTACATGATACAAACGGTGGAGCACTGTCGGTAAGCCTACCACAAGGAAGAAGCGAGCGTCAGACATGTGACCTAACTAGATGTTTGTGCGCTTAAACGTCGTGCAGCTGGTCACGATGATGGCGCATTTCTTGTGTTCGTCTTTGTTTTGATTATTCGTTTGTTAAAGTTATTCGCACAATCAAGCGTTGCTTAGGGTACAGACAGCTCTGAGACAAACGCAACTAACGAACAAAGACTCTCCAGAAATCGTCGATTGAGTTAACAGTCTAACAGACGATATCATCGCAATCCATGTCGTTGAGGTCACCAACGTTATTTAAGTGGACCAAAGGCGGGAAACCGGTATAACCTGCTTTCAATTCTCCACGTCCTCACGTTCCGAAAAAGTACTTTCCACTCACTAGCCCCCAATCTTTGTAAATGCCAGCTAACTTAGATTTGTCGTCCTACCTCAATCTCACAAACGAACCACAGGCATCCGGTTGCTCATCTGTCTGACCGCTGAAGTATTGGACCACAGCTTCACCAGAGCTGTTGGAAGCTGTGACCATGTGGAACGGGCGTCCCTGTTTCTTCTGGCAGTGGAAGTCGGTCTCAGCTGAGTGAAGAACAAGCGTCTTCTGAGCTCTTTCATGGCACTTTTCTGCAGAACCATGTGTGACTTACCTATTCCACGGTATGATGTCTCGACTGACACCTTGGGAGAGGAGCTTCCAACCTTAACATTTGACACTAGAAGCCAACCTCCTAAAATAAAACCAACCTAAGTGATCTTGTGACATTCATGTAACTAGAATTTTTTACATATGAATAATGGTAACAGGACCGAGTGGAGTCCAATTTGGTCTGTAATCATACGAGTGATTTACAGAATTGTACAACCGCAAAGCGGGAGTCTGATTTTTTTAATCACGCGTATGATTACAGACAGAATTGGACGACAAGAAGGCCTGTTACCAATTCATCAAAACAATGACAAAATTTGAGAAAGAAACTAGATATCAGTTATACGTTTTCATAAAAACGAAAAACAACAGTTTACTCGGCGGAATGCGAGACAACAGCGCCCGCACATGACGCGTTCTGTCCCCTCATACAGGCATGACGTGTTAACTGTCTCTTTCACGGTCCTATTACACTGTCAAATTGCATGACGCATACTGTCCTGTTGTGCTCAAATCGGCAGGCTCTTGATAACCAAACACGTTCGAGAGTTTTTTTACGGTTTCGATCAAAAAACATAACAAGGATCTTCGTAGAGAAAGGACGAACAGCCACGATCAGAATGTTCTAATAGAAATTGCTCCAAGTCAAATATACTCCGGTTAAAGTCCTCGTGTCTCAAATAAAAAGACTTATTCACTTACCACCATATCTTGCCATGTCAAAATAGACCCTCAAAGGGTTTCCACTTTCTCGGGGTCGATCTAATACTCCCCGTCTCCTTTGGAGTGTCAAGAGTCCAGAATTTCTTTACAGGAGGAGCCGGGCCGGATGAGCAGAATTCCAGCCTCGTATATCGACATCGGAAGAGGGAAGAATAATCATTTGGAACTAGGAGAGGATCAAACTTAGAAACAAAACACGCCACATAGGTCTTATTCGAAAAGTACTTCTTTTCGCGTGATCATTTGATAGCTTTTGATTTTGGAAATCTCTGTAGGATCCCTAGCATCCTTTAATCTCAAATTAAGAAAATGGAAAAGTTATAAGGAAAGGCAATAGAACATAAACTTTACATTCTCTGAAAAGCGCTGAGCAGAAGTAAGGAATAGGTTACCATTTTTCGCTTGGAAAGAGGGGTGTCGAGGTGAGCGGGTCTTGCAGGTGGGGTGGGTCTCCTGGTTTTCAAAGGGAACGGAGATAGGATCAGTCGTCGCTGACAGAGTTTAAAGGTGGGACCAAAGAAAATCGACTGACTCGATTTATTGTGACAACCAAAATGCTTTCCCTTTTTTGATGCAACAAATAGTTTTGATTGTGAATTTAGGGTTTTATTAATTACACTTTGTCTGACTCGGCGAAAGAATATCAGCGCTTTTTAAAGCACCAGCTGAAAGGAATTGAACTTTCCCTGCTAAGGATTAAAACTTGTCCGTTGGCTTACGTCACAATCCTATAGTTTTTATAGTTTTTAGGCGCCCTTTAGTTGTAGTTTCGTCGTCTTGAAACAATAAATCGCTTTATTATGTTTCCTAGCTATGATTCTGACTGTCTATACTTTAAATGTGCTGTTGCGTAAAATGATGCATTTTATCTGTATTTTTGTCATTCCTTTTGCTTCAGATTCTTATTTTATCTTGAGGGAGTACAATGGAGAATTCTTACCATGGTTAGGCGTAAGGCCGGTAAGGATTAAATTAAAAACTAGAAAATGAACGGACAATCCTCTCTCAACAATTAGCTAAATACGACAAACATGAGTCATAGCTATTATTCGTTTACAGTATTTTGTCACGAACAATCGAGCAAGTCTGCACGCGAGGCATCGGCATTGTGTTACTGAGAGAACATAGATACCATTGGTCTTTAAACATGCAATGTCCAGTCTCAACCTCTTAGCGAGATTGTTGATCGTGTGAGTTCAGTGGACTTCCTGACATAGAGACCTTCGATATGGTAGGAAAACCCCCTCTGCATGGAATGACGATTATTTTAGCCCCCTAATTGTAAACTGCATGCGGTATGAAAAGAGCTCTTACATAACCTACCCTGGTCCACCACAACGGCAACGTTTTCTTCCAAGGGGCACATGACGTTGCTGATATCGAGATTTGAGTCGACTGAAAACCCGAAGGAAAAGGAGCTTATGGGTGCTAAAAGCGTAATATAGTTCTTGACTTGTGTGAAGCTCTGAACACGATTAAAAAAATTTATATACATATAATGCCCGGTTATTATGTTTGATATAAACCTCTCAATCATTGAAAATTAAAATTTCTTCGATTGTGATTGGTTACAGTATAAAAACTCGTGTCATGTCTAAAAAATGGAATAAAACCCTTCCCCAATCCCCGAGGGGTTGAAGGTCAAAATCTGTATGATTATTTTTTTATTGTCCGGGAGATTTCCCAGCTAGGCTCGACCTCTCGTGCTAAGCATGGTTTTTCTCAGTGGCTTCCCGTCATATCAAACAGGTCATTGAAATTTTCTTGTGTCAATAGTGAACTTTTTTCGAACTGCAGAGTGTTCTTTCCTCTTCCTCTGGAATTTTTAGTATGCACGCGCGACGCTCGCGATCCGATCAACTAGCCAATCATGTTTAGGGTCCTTCAACTTAACATTGAGGTTGACGTGGTCACCAGTTCAACCTTTTATTTAGAAGGAAGCAGTTGTGAAAATTTAATCGTTATCTACCTCTCAACTCAAATAGGTTTTTTGATTGGATGGTTGAATACGTCACGCGCCGTGAATCAAAATACACTAACTTTCTAGGGTGAACAAAATTCACTAAGTCCCCGAGGAGACAACAACTTTATCTTTCGACTCTCTCGCGATAAGGTTGTTCACCGTGAAACCGCGGCAAATGTGTGTGCCAGCCTACGTACAAAAAGTGATTTTTGGCAGTTATATTCGGTTTGGGATGTATGAGAAAATATTTTCAAAAATAAAAATTAAAATGACTGGCCCCACGGGAAACAATAAGGATTGCTTTCCCTTTCCCCGAAATGGAAACAAAAAAAATTCTTATAACCTGATGAGTGTAACGGTGCATTTGTCTTTATTTTGGGTTATTCGTTTGTTACTGTTATTCACATAGTCAAGGGTTGCTTGGTGTATAGATAGACACAACTAACGAACAAAGACTCTCCAGAAATCGCCGTTTGTGTCAACATTGGGACCGGAGCTATCATCACATTCCATTTTTTTGAGGTCGTCAACATCCAGTTGGACCCTAAGGTGATACTTTTTTTTTTTGAAGACGGGATACCAGTATAGCCTGTTTTGATCTTCACCATGTCCCCACTTTCCACTTACTTGTCCCCAATCTTTGCAAATGCCAGCTAACTCGGAATTGTCATCCAACGTCAATCTCACAAACGAACCACAGGCGTCCGGTTCCTCATCTGTCTGACCGCTGAAGTACCGGACCACAGCTTCGCCTGAGCTGTTGGAAGCTGTGACCACGTGGAATGTGCGTCCCTGTTTCTTGTGGCAGTGGAATCTCAGCTGAGTGAAGGACAAGTGTCTTCTGAGCTCTTTCATGGCACTTTTCTGCAGAACCATGTGTGACTTCCCTATTCCACGGTATGATGTCTCAACTGACACCTTAGGAGAGGGACTTCCGAACTCAACATTTGACACCAGAAGCCAACCTCCTGAAATAAAACAAACCTTAATGATCTGGTGACATCCATGTAACTAGAATTTTGGACATATTAAATAGTAACGGGACCGAGTGGAGTCCAATTGGGTCTGTAATCATACGAGTGATTTACAGAATCGTACGACCGCAAAGCGGGAGTCCGATTTGTTAATCACTCGTATCATTATAGACAGAATTTGACGACAAGAAGGCCTGTTACCAATTAGTCAAAACTATGACAAAATTTGAGAAAGAAACTGGACATCGGTCATACGTTTTCACAAAAACCAAAAAACAACACTTTAGTCGGCGAAATGCGAGACAACAGCGCACACATGACGCGTTCTGTTCACTCACACAGGCATGACGCCTTTAACGGTCCTATTACACTGTCCAATTACAAGTATAACGCGTACACTGTCCTATTAGTGCTCAAATCGGCCGGCTGATGATAACCAATCACTTTCGAGAATTCTGATATAGTTTTGATTCAAAACATAATAAACGCACGGATAGCCAAGACCAGAACGTTCCAATAACAACTGCTTCAAGTCAAATATACTCCTGTTGAGGTCTTCGTGTCTCAAAACAAAAATTCATTCTCTTACCACTATATCTTGACATGTCGCAATAGACCTTCAAAGGGTTTCCACTCTTCTCTGGGTCGATCCAATACTCCCCGTCTCCTTTGGAGTGTCCAGAGTCCAGAATTTCCTTACAGGAGAAGGCCGGAAGAGCAGAATCCCAACCTCGATTATCTGCATAGGAAATGGGAAGAAGAATCATTTGGAACGAGGAGAGGATCAAACTAAGAAACAAAACACGCCACAGAGGTCATATTCCATATGTAGTTCCTCTCGCGTAATTATTAGATAGCTCTTGATTTTATAAATCTTTGTAGGATCCATAGCATCTTTCAATTCAAACAAGAAAATGGAAAACCTATCATTATAAGGAAAAACAAGAGATTTTAAACTTCATATTCTCTCGGTAAAGATTATACATGGATGTACACGTGACATGAGAGAGCTCTGAAAAGCGATAATCAGAAGTAAGAAATAGGTCACCATTTTTGACTTGTAAAGAGGGGGTGGGAGGGGTGGCAAAGTCTTGGGGGGGATTTTATTGTTTTCAAAGGGAATGGAGAGGGGATCAGTGGTCGCTAACAGAGTTTAAAGGTGAGACTAAAGAAAATTGGCGGCCAATGAGAAAGATCGATAGAATAATTCGGAACGTTATGTAAGGATCAGGAAAACTTTATTGTGACAACCAAAATACTCCGACCCTTAATACCCCCCCCTCCCACTTCCACTAACTTTTCCATATTGTTAAGCACTTTACTCAACAGTACCTCTTCCATAATAAGTAGAAGGTGGGTTTCGCCTCAGGTTTTCCGGACTTGATTTTTTGGTTTGATTACTCAGTTGACATTCCTTCTTTGCATCATTAACTTGGGATTTGCTGTTGTAAGATTGACATTTTTCATCTCGAAGGCATCTCAATCCACAGCTTATTTCGTCAGCATATAATGTCGTGGTGATATGACCAATTAGCTCAAATCCTTGAAAAGCATTACAATCGTGTTTCATGTTCTCATCACTCAGTTTATTTTGGATACTTTAATAACACAGTTTGTGTGTAGTTAATTACCCTGTCTTAAGAGGTCATCTTGATTCTTGATATCGTTCAAAGAAGAAAGTGAAGAAGCCCTGAGAGTTATGAGAGTTGCGCGTAGAAAGTTCCTGTTGTTTTTACCCGATTTTGGGGCGATCTCATATTTTTTTTAAGGGCGAACTGCTATGGAAACAGAGTATAAAGGGGGAAGAATGGAGATTTACTACCATTGAGGGGGATTGTAAGAATGTCACAGAACCTTATTTGGGGGGGGGAGGGATCATGTAAAGTTTATCGTGACACAGCCAAAATCTGTGTCATCCGATCCGAGTTTTCGCCCATGGCATTTGAAACATTCACATCCCGTGAAAAAAATATCACTGTTGGGAGGTATAACACATTCACGTGTTACCTTCAACTCTCTCGAAAACCTCGTCCCTGCTCAAGTCAGTGTGCAAAGACGAACTGAAAGCCACAAGAAACAAAGCAACACCACTCAACAGAACGGGACAGAAATGGAAACCAACTAGAAGCCCTCTCATCCTGTAATTTGAGAAAGAAAGAAAAACAGATGATAAATGTTGCCTTTCTCCCTTCTTAGATGCAACAAATAGTTTTGATTGTGAATTTAGGGTTTTGCTAATTATACTTTGTCTGACTCAGCGAAAGAATACGAGCGCTGTTTTAAACTACCAAGTCATACAAAGGAATCTTTCCAGCTAAGGATTAATTCTTGTCCGCTGGCTTGCACAAGTTACTCACCCGATAGTAAGTAAATACATCGAGTTTCTCACTCACACTCACCTTCCTTTTCTTACTTTTCCTCGACTTTTCTTCTCACGTTTATGCGGTAGTAAAGGTCTTTTGTATATATACTTCTCACTCAAACGTATTTGTCGAAGTGGCTGACCATTCAAGATTTATGTTGTTATCAAAGTTAGAGAGCAATCTTCTTCTGAAGTTTAAATTAACCAATTTTCTCCAAATTGAATGACTTGGTTACTCCTTGCACATGTTATTTACCCGATAGTAAGTAAATACATCGAGTTTCTCACTCACACTCACCTTCCTTTTCTTACTTTTCCTCGACTTTCCTTCTCACGTTTATGCGGTAGTAAAGGTCTTTTGTATATATACTTCTCACTCAAACGTAATTATCGAAGTGGCTGACTATTCAAGATTTATGTTGTTATCAAAGTTAGAGAGCAATCTTCTTGAAACCAGTATATTCTTACCTTCAGTTTCCTTCCACTCCTCTCGTATTTTTGTATTGAAAAACTCTTTTATCAACTTTTTATACAATTTTAATGAAACTTGAGACAATGATTAAAAGAAAAAAATAGAAACAGCTTAAGAACCCATACATAAATTATGCATCAGTCAACTTTGCACGAAGTACTGATCACGACTTGGGGTTAGCGTTTCTTTACATTTGTGTAAAGCGTGGGGGCATTTAATTAGAAACAAACCTAGATTACTCGGATTGTTTTTATTATCCGGATTTCTTTTCTCAATTAGTCGCATTCAGGATACAGAGCAACTTTTTCCCATCAAACAAAGCTAAATTCGCCTAATGAAAACTGAAAGAACCACAGGATATAATTTCAAGGTTAAAAGTTTTCTTCAGTGATGAAATTGACAGGATTCCTTCTCATGTTCTAACTCGTACATTTATGACTCACAATGTGTTGGTATATCTGTTGTACCATACATGTTTCTGTGTGTTCCTGTTTTGCACCCGTGTTAGTTAAATCTGATAACCGAAGCCAATATGCTAAGAAACATATTTCTTTCGATGCTCCAATTATTTTCTCATCTTTTGCACTCTAGCTAATACCCTGCTAATATTGTTTACTCTCGCTTCCAGACAATTCTAATACAGACACCTGGCAATGTTGATCAATTAAGCGACTAACTGACTGTAGGGGAAACAATGAGTTTTGTTTCCATTGCGGGTCAAAGGAAAGCAATTCTCACTGTTTCCCGTGGGGCCAGTCACTTTGATTTTAATTTTTAAAAGTGTTTTGTCATACCTCCCAACTCGAAAATGACTGCTAAAATATTATTTTTTACACAGGCTGGCACTCACATTTGCTGCAGTTTCACGGTGCACGACCTTATCCCGTGAGAGTCGAAAGTTCAAGTTGTTGTTTACCAAGGGGCTTTTTGTTCACCCTAGAAAGTTGGTGTATTTTGATTCACAGCGACTTGTTCTCCTCCAATCCGAAACCCCTTTGAGTTGAGAGGTACATAACAATTAAATTTTTACAACTTCTATCTTAATTAAAGGTTGAATCAGTGCTAAGGAAATTGACCACGTCAACCTCAACGTTAAGTTCAAGGATCTAAACATGATTGGCTAGTTGGTCGAATCACGTGCGTCAAGCGTGAATACAAACATTCCAGGGAAAGTGGAATAGTACGCTTAGTTTGCACTTCGCAAAAAAATTCACGAAAACCATGAAAATCATGCCCTGCACAAAAGGTCGAGGCTAGCTGGGAAACCTCCGGGACCGAAAAAGAAAAAAAAATTATCATATAGACATTGACCCTTAAGGCAATTTAAACAAGGTGCCTTACAGCAAATAAAATCCATTTCTTCCAAGAATTTGATTTAAAACGAAAGGAAAGTGAACAGAGAGGAAACAAGTCGAAAACTTGGTTTGTCTTGGATTAATTTTCCAGAAAGTTTACTGAAGAGCCGTCATCTTGGGCGTCATTTAGTTTTCGTGACTCGAGTCTTAATTAACATATCGAACTGTGCAGAACTTAAATCTATACTCGCCCCCGTCCCAATGTATACCCCAGGGTATCCGTTCAACAGATGAGCGCACGAACGAAAAATGACAATGACTTTACTTTATTTATTTTATTTTTTCTATCAATTTCGCCAGTTAAGTTTTTTTTTGGTGAAAATTCATGCTGAGTGTTTTCATTGCCCTTCACACAATTTTATATAAGCTTTCATCATTCTTTCACCTGCCCTAACACTCCCACAAAACAATCCAAAGTTCTCGCAAGCTACGACTTTTCGAAAAATAACAGATACTAATTGTCCATAAATTCGGCTTTTCGTTTTTCGACAAAAGCTGTCATCCCTTCCTTTCGATCGTCCTGCGAAATTAAAGAAAAGGAGAAATTTTTCCTTCGGGAAAGTTTCATCGCAAGTCCTTACAAATTCATTACACTGTTATTCATCACCATGGTAACAGTCGAACAGACGGGGTAAGTTTCTAGTGTTGCGGCGGGTGGGGTATCACAAATATTATTTACATCAAAAGCGTTGATAATGCAAAAATGGCCACCATAGAGAGTTTCTAAAGCTGACGTTCCTAGCGTTAGCCTTTCGTCAGAGCGAATAGAGGAATTGTGGGTTGTGTGTAGTTTACATGCAGAAAGATGGAGCTACGCTTTTAGCGGGAACATAAGAACATTTTAATATTTTAATCCAAACTTTCTTCGGTTGCGCTGAAGACGTGAAGTATTCAGTGTATTGCTCTAAATCAGAGAGAGTAGGTGATATGTTTTCGGGAAATGGTTAAGTGGCTTTACCACTTTGTATTGCAATTGGCGTCTTCTTTCAAGTGTAAACGCCGATCAATATTAACTTACTGTTGAAAATGTTGAGTGAAACATTCTTTTCTCAAAATGCAGTCCTTCTGCCAGTGACATCTCGTAGCCTAAACAAAAAGACATTTGGGAAATTCAACCATCTACGGAACTTTCAAAGGGAATGCAACGACCATAAATTGTTCTTGCATGCATTTCTTGTAAACTGTTAAACTTTTGGACTCAAGCAGGTCAGTCATCATGATTTATATCCCGAGGCAACAAAACCCTACGCGAGATCAAGTTCTTCTCTGCTTAACTTGCGCAAAAATCTACCTCATTTTTTCAGTTTGCTTCAATTAAGATGATGGCTTAGAAACAATCAATTTTACTCTTGTGAATGGAAGTACGTCATGATGTTTTGGGCTATTTCGGTAACTAGAAAAAAGATAGTTTTGCAGTAGAACAGTCAAATAGGATAGGTAACTGTTTTGAAGTTGACTGGTAAACCAACAAGAAACGTCTAGCGATGGACAAGATCCACACCGACTTCAGTTGACATAAAATCTTTCGAATAATCGAGGTATAACTCATGACAGGAAACAGTCAATCGGATGGTTACAACTGCCAGGGCAATACCTGTGTTGACAGCTTCTTTGGCGATCTGTACGGCAATCTTCGACAAGGATGATATTTTTGCAGCTGTCTTGATAGCTTCATCTACGAGATCTTCTGCGGGGAAGACTTTACTAACCGGGCCTAAGAAAAAATGAAAGTTTTTAAGTCTGCAATTTGAATTTAGATCTAAGTGAAGAAAAATCTCGAGAATGAGTGCGCAATGCCCCACCTGACAAAGCCGACGCAAATAATTCTCAGAAGTTTATGTAGTTTTATCACAGGAGTGCATGCCCCGAGTTCATACTTTTATTAACCCTTAAACCTAACTGAACAACTTGAGGTAACGCGGCCTTAACTGCGACTTTTTGAAAAAAGTGTATAGAGCAAATGTACTTGAATCAAAACGAAGAGAAAGGTTTGCGCAAATAACTTTTGCCGAGAGCTTTTAATAAGAGAGGAGAGTACTGAAGACATACAAGTTTACGTAAACTCTAAAAAAACGTCTTCGGAAGTGAACGGTTCCTTCGCGGAAATGCTAACAAACAGAAGGGAAAAATATACGCTTTTAACTCAAATTTTGCAGGCTTACACAAGTGTTTAGCACAAAACAGTGTGTCTCCGTTGCAGTCCTTGATGATGTGGAAGTACTGTACACATTTCTCAATAATTTGTGTGAGAGTTTCCTTGTGCCACCGGGAAGACTTACGATGCTAAGTACCTCCCTCCTTGGCCCTTTAACCCCTAAGATCTGATTGTTAATTTTCCCCTCTAGCTGCTACACATTTCCTTTTTAATTAGTTACGAGAATTTGACGTTAGATCAATAACAACTTTGAACTGATAAGTTAAATATTCTCATTACTCGTTTGCTGGATGATGTAAGTTTATTACAGGGAGAAGTTGCATGTTGATCGATTTTGTAAGGTAAAGAGGTAATGATGAACAACTCGTCAAAAATAGGAGCTAAGTTGAAAGGAACATGGACCTGATTTCTGTGCATCTTCTGCTGAAATAGGATCTCCTGTTAGTACCATTTCCATGGCCAGAGACTTCCCAACAGCTCTTGGAAGTCGCTGTGTACCACCAGCACCTGAAAAAATGAAAGCAATCTTCGAGTTAGTTGCAACTTTAAGCACAAACTTAAATTTAAACTTGACACAATTGTAATTTTACTTATTGTCAACCATACAATTCTTATAATTTTAGTTTAAAGAATTTAATATTGGACCAACTAATTATCCCCAAATTGAAATTTTTCTTTATTCTCACCACTTATCTGGTTAATATTGTATTGATAGTGTAAAGAGAAATTCTGTCTTGGTCACTCATGGGAGTTAAAGGGTTAAAGAACATAAAAGCAGCAATATAAGAGAGTCTAGAATTAGAAAAAATATCCATTTCATAAAACTGAAAGCCATCTTACTCCTATGATCTTTCCTGGTAACAAGTATTTACTTCCCCAAATCATATCACTTTTTTTTAAGTTCAAGCAAATTTTAACTCTTTGACCCCAAAGAGTGATTAGCATCTAGTTTCTCCTTACAATATCACCCCTGAATCACACATTAAAGTCATGAGAATAAAGGAAATGATCATCAATCAAACAAGCTCTTGATTGTTAAAAAAAATTCTCCTTGTCAGCACATTAGGAAACGTATGGAGAAAAGTATGGAGACCTTGCAGACTGATATTTGGGTGTAAAGGGCTAATGACTAATACTCTTAAGAAGTATAAAACAAAATCTTGGAAAGAATAAGATCCCATTTTCATTTTCTTCATCTGCTATCCTACAGCTTATTTCTGCTCTCGAATTTTTTAATCAAGGTCAGTGGAATATATTTTCTTATTGTGCAAACTGACAAAGTTCTTTCTATGGGTGATTTATTTGGGTGCCACACCTGGAAGAGTTCCAAGCAAAATCTCTGGTTGACCAAACCTAGCTTTGTTTCAAGCATAAATGATATCACACATGATGGCTAACTCACATCCTCCTCCAAGCTGTGAAGAAAGTATTGTACAACTTACTTTAATTAAGCAACAACAAAAAAGACAAACTTTGTTTGCCACCCTTAATAATACAATGACAGTTACAAGAAAATCTCTTGATTATTGGACAATCTGATCACTGAGCTGGTGATTTGCACCAGTAACTGAGACTACTAGCATCTCATTCAAAATAATATTTTGGACATATTAATAATGGTAACAGGATCGAGTGGAGTCTAATTTGGTCTGCGGAAGTCCGATTTGTTAATCACGAATATGATTTCAGACAAAATTGGACGACAAGAAGGCCTGTTAGCAATTAATCAAAACTTTGACGAAATTTGGGAAAGAAACAAGACATTGGTTATACGTTTTCAGAAAAGCCAAAACCAACGGTTTACTCGGCGAAATGCGAGACAACAGCGCGCGCACATGTCGCGTTCTGTCCCCTCATACAAGCATGACGTGTTAACTGTCCCTTTAACTGACCTATTACACTATCCAATTACAAGTATGACGCGTATACTGTCTTGTTGTGCTCAAATCGGCCGGCTGGTGATAACCAATCGCGTTGGAGAATTTTGTTACACCGCCAAAAAATACAAAAGATAAATTGATAAGTCAAGCTTGAAATGGGACAGTCTATGTGGGGTCTTACGTCACAATCCTATAGTTTTTAGGTGCCCTTTAATTGTAGTTTCGTCGTCTTCAAACAATGAATCGCTTTATTACGTTTCCTAGCCATGATTCTGACTGTCTAGACTTTGATTGTCCTGTTGCGCAAAATGATGCATTTTATCTGTTTTTTTGTCATTCCTTTTATTTCAGATTCTTATTTTATCTTGAGGGAGTAAAGTGGAGAATTCTTACCATGGTCACACAAAACCATGGTAAAAATTCTCCATTTAAAGTACAGCAGTTTTCACTATAAACTATTCGTAACTATGTAGTTTTAAACTATAAAAATTTTTTTGAAGTTTTTAAGCGCCCTCTAGTTGCAGTTTGGCCGTCTTAAAGCAATGAATCACTTTATCACGTTTCCTAGCGCTAGTTCTGAATGTCTAGACTGTAAGTGCGCTGTCGCGTAAAATGATTTATTTTATCTGAATTTTTGTCTTTCCTTTTATTTCAGATTCTTATTTTATCTTGAGGTAGTCAAATGGAGAATTCTTCCCATGGTTAGCCGTAAAGCCGGTAAGGATTAAATTAAAAACAAGAAAAATGAAAGGACAATCCTCTCTCGACAATTAGCTAAATACAACAAACATGAGTCATAGCTATTATTCGTTTACGGTATTTTGTCATAAACAATCGAGCAAATCTGCACGCGAGGCATCAAAATTGTATCACTGAGAGAACACAGATACCACTGGTTTTTAAAAATGCAATGTCCAGTCTCAACCTCTTAGAGAGATTGTTGCTCGTGTGAGTTCAGTGGACTTCCTGACATAGAGAGCTTCGATATGGTAGGACAACCCCCTCTGTATGGAATGACGATTATTTTAGTCTCCCAATTGTAAACTGCATGCGGTATGAAAAGAGCCCTTACATAACCTACACTGGTCCGCCAGAACGGCAACGTTTTCTTCCAAGGGGCACATGACGTTGCTGATATCGAGATTTGAGTCGACTGAAAACCCGAAGGAAAAGGAGCTTATGGCTGCTAAAAGCATAGTATAGTTCTTGACTTGTGTGAAGCTCTGAACAATGAACACGATAAAAAAAGTTATATATATATATATATATATATATATATATATATATATATTGCCCGGTTATTATGTTTGATGTAAACCTCCCAATCATTGAAAATTAAAATTTTTTGATTGTGATTGGTTGCAGTATAAAAACTCGTGTCATGTCTAAAAAGTGGAATAAAACCCTTCCCCAATCCCCGAGGGGTTGAAGGTCAAAATCTGTATGATTACTTTTTTATTGTCCGGGAGATTTCCCAGCTAGCCTCCACCTCTTGTGCTAAGCATGGTTTTTCTCAAAGGCTTCCCACCATATCAAACAGGTCGTTGAAATTTTCTTGTGTTAGTAGTGAACTATTTTCGAACTGCAAAGTATTCTTTCCTCTTCCTCTGGAATTTTTAGTATTCACGCGCGATGCTCGCGATCCGATCAACTGGCCATGTTTAAAGTCCTTCAACTTAACATTGAAGTTGACGTGGTCACTAGTTCAACCTTTTATTCAGAAGGAAGTAGTTGTGAAAATTTAATCGTTATGTACCTCTCAACTCAAATACGTTTTTTGATTGGATGGTTGAGTATGTCACGCGCCGTGAATCAAAATACACTAACTTTCTAGGGTGAACAAAATTAACTAAGCCCCCGAGGAGACAACAACTTTAGCTTTCGACTCTCGATAATGTTGTTCATCGTGAAACCGCGGCAAATGTGTGTGCCAGCCTACGTACAAAAAGTGATTTTTGGCAGTCATATTCGGTTTGGGATGTATGAGAAAATATTTTCAAAAATTAAAATTAAAATGACTGGCCCCACGGGAAACAATGAGGATTGCTTTCCCTTGCCCCGAAATGGAAACAAAAACAATCTTATAACCTGATGAGTGCATTTTTCTTTATTTCGCTTTATTCGTTTGTTACTGTTATTCGCACAGTCAAGGGTTGCTTGGTGTACAGATAAACGCAATTAACGAACAAAGACTCTCCAGAAATCGCCATTTGTGTCAAAATTTTGACCGAAGCGATCATCACACTCCATATTTTGGAGGTCGTCAACGTTATGCAGTTGGACCCTAAGGTGATACCAGTATTTTCTCATGACGGGATACCAGTATAGCCTCTTTTGACCTTCACCATGTCCCCACTTTCCAACTAAGTACTCTCCACTTACTAGTCGACCCCATTCTTTGCAAATGCCAGCTAACTGGGAATTGTCATCCAACGTCAATCTCACAAACGAACCACAGGCGTCCGGTTGCTCATCTGTCTGACCGCTGAAGTACCGGACCACAGCTTCACCTGAGCTGTTGGAAGCTGTGACCACGTGGAATGTGCGTCTCTGTTTCTTGCGGCAATGGAATCTCAGCTGAGTGAAGGACAAGTGTCTTCTGAGTTCTTTCATGGCACTTTTCTGCAGAACCATATGTGACTTACCTATTCCACGGTATGATGTCTCAACTGACACCTTAGGAGAGGGACTTCCGAACTCAACATTTGACACCAGAAGCCAACCTCCTAAAATAAAACAGACCTAAATGATCTGATGACATCCATGTAACAAGAATTTTGGACATATTAAATGGTAACAGGACCGAGTGGAGTCCAATTGGGTCTGTAATCATACGAGTGATTTACAGAATCGTACGACCTCAAAGCGGGAGTCCGATTTGTCAATCACTCGTATCATTACAGACAGAATTAGACGACAAGAAGGCCTGTTACCAATTAGTCAAAACTGTGACAAAATTTGAAAAAGAAACTAGACATCAGTTATACGTTTTCAAAAAAACGAAAAACAACAGTTTACTCGACGAAATGCGAGACAACAGCGCGCACATGATGCGTTCTGTCCACTCGCACAGGCATGATGCGTTAACTGTTTCTCTTTAAAATAACAACTGTACCAAGTCCAATATACTCCTGTTGAGGTCCTCGTGTCTCAAAAAAAAAGTTCATTCGCTTACCACCATATCTTGACATGTCACAATAGACCCTCAAAGGTTTTCCACTCTTCTCTGGGTCGATCCAATACTCCCCGTCTCCTATGGGGTGTCCAGAGTCCAGAATTTCTTTACAGGAGAAGGCCGGATGAGCAGAATCCCAACCTCGTTTACCTGCATAGGAAAAGGGAAGAATAATCATTTGGAACGAGGAGAGGATAAAACTAAGAAACAAAACACGCCACAGAGGTCCTATTCCATAAGTAGTTCCTTTCGCGTAATTATTAGATAACTCTTGATTTTGAAAATTTAAATTTAAACTAAGAAAATGAAAAACCTTTGATTATAAGGAAAAGCAAGAGATTTTAAACTTCATATTCTCTCGGGAAAGATTATACATGGATGTGCACTTGAAATAAGAGAGCTCTGAAAAGCGCTAATCAGAAGTAAGAAATAGGTCACCATTTTTTTATTTGGAAAGAGGGGGTGGGAGGGGTGGCAGGGTCTTGGGGGGGAATACCATTGTTTTCAAAGGGAATGGAGAGGGGATCAGTGGTCGCTAACAGAGTTTAAAGGTGGGACTAAAGAAAATTGGCGGCCAATGAGGAAGATCGATAGAATAATTCGGAACGTTATGGAGGGATCAGGAAAACTTTATCGTGACAATCAAAATACTCCTACCCCTCGTACCCCCCTCCCACCTCCACTAACTTTTCCATAATGTTAAGCACCTTACTCAACAGTACCTCTTCCATAATAAGTAGAACGTGGGTTACGCCTCAAGTTTTCCGGACTTGATTTTTTGGTTTGATTACTCAGTTGACATTCCTTCTTTATATCACTAGCATCGGATTTGCTGTTGTAAGATTGGCAGTTTTTATCTTGAAGGCATCTCAATCCACAGCTTATTTCGTCAGTATATAGTGTCATGGTGATGTGACCAATTAGCTCAAATCCTAAAAAAAAACACAATCGCGTTTCATGTTCTCATCACTCAGTTTATTTTGGATACTTAAATAATACAGTTTGTGTGTAGTTAATTACCCTGTCTTAAGAGGTCATCTTGTTCTTGATATCGTACAAAAGCGAATATGATGAAACCCTGAGAGTTATGAGAGTTGCGCGTATGAAGTTCCTGTTGTTTTTACCCGATTTTGGGGCGATCTTATATTTTTTGCTGTGGCCAACAGAGTATAAAGGGGGAAGAATGAAAATTTACTACTAATGTGGGAGATTGTAAGAATGTCACAGAGCCTTTTTTTTTTGGGGCGGTCATGTAAAGTTTATCGTGACACAGCCAAAATCTGTGTCATCCGATCCGAGTTTTCGCCCATGGCACTCGATACATTCACATTCCGTCGGAAAAAAATATCACTGTATTAGGAGGTATAACACATTCACGCGTTACCTTCAACTCTCTCGAAAACCTCGTCCCTGCTCAAGTCAGTGTGCAAAGACGAACTGAAAGCCACAAGAAACAAAGCAACACCACTCAACAGAACGGGACAGAACTGGAAACCAACTAGAAGCCCTCTCATCCTGTAATTTGAGAAGGAAAGAAAAACAGATGACAAATGTTGCTCTTCTCCCTTCTTAGATGCTACAAATAGTTTTGATTGTGAATTTAGGGTTTTTCTAATTACACTTTGTCTGACTCAGCGAAAGGCGCTTTTTAAACTACTAAGTCATATAAAGGAATCTTCCCTGCTAAGTATTAATTCTTGTCCGCTGGCTTGCACAAGTTACTCACCCGATAGTAAGTAAATACATCGAGTTTCTCACTCACACTCACCTCCCTTTTCTTACTTTTCCTCGACTTTTCTTCTCACGTTTATGCGGTAGTAAAGGTCTTTTGTATATATACTTCTCAATCAAACGTATTTGTCGAGGCGGCTGACTATTCAAGATTTATGCTGTTATCAAAGTTAGAGAGCAATCTTCTTCTGAAGTTTAAATTAACCAATTTTCTCCAAATTGAATGACTTGGTTACTCCTTGAAACCAGTATATTCTTACCTTCAGTTTCTTTCCACTTCTCTCGTATTTTTGTATTGAAAAACTCTTTTGTAAACTTTTCATTCAATTTTAATGAACCTTGGGTAACAATGAAAAGTATAGAAATGAATGGAAACAGCTTGAGAACCCATTCATAAATTATGCATTGGTCAGTTTTGCACGAAGTACTGATCACGACTCGGGTTACCGATCCTTTACATTCGAGTAAAACGTGGGGGCGTTTGACTTTAATAGCGAAAAACCGCGATTATTCGGATTCCTTTTATTATTATTATTTATTACTTCTTTTGTCTTGTAGCCTTTATGAGCATCAATTAGTCGCATTTGAGATCCATAAAAACTTTTTCCAAAGCTAAATCCGCCTAATGAAAAAGAGCTGCAGGGTGTAATTTCAACTTAAAAAGTTTTTCAAAAATGAAAATTGACAGAATTTCTTCCTACGTTCCAACTCGTACATTTATGAGTCACAATTTGTAGGTATATCTGCCATACCATTCCGTGCACGTTAAATCTGATAACCGAAGCTAATATGCTAACAAACAGTTATTTCTTTAGATGCTCTGATTCTTTTCTCATCATTTGCACTCTAGCTACCCTGCTAATATTGTTTACTTTCGCTTCCAGACAATTCTAACACGGACTCCTGGCAAGGTCGATAAAATAATTGACTAATGACTGAGTCCAAGGGAAACAACGAGTTCTGTTTCCATTGCAGGGCAATCCTCATTGTTTCCCGTGAGGCCAGTCATTTTAATCTTTAAAGTATTTCCTCATATATACCTCCCTACTCGAATATGACTGCCAAAATTTACTTTTTGTACGCAGGCTGTCACACACATTATCACGTGAGAGTCGAAAGTTCAAGTTGTTGTTTCCCTGGGGGGCTTCGTGTTTCTTCACATTCCAGTAAAACGTGGGGGCGTTTGACTTTCTTTAATTGAGAAAAACCTTGATTATTCGGATTCTTTTCAATATCCGGACTTCTTTTTCTTGCACCCTTTATGAGTATCAATTAGTCGCATTTGAGATCCATAAAAACTTTTCCCCACCAAAATAAACCAAAAAACCGCCTAATGGAAAAGAGCTGCAGGGTGTAATTTCAACTCAAAAAGTTTTTCAAAAATGAAAATTGACAGAATTTCTTCCTACGTTCCAACTCGTACATTTATGAGTCACAATTTGTAGGTATATCTGCCATACCATTCCGTGCACGTTAAATCTGATAACCGAAGCTAATATGCTAACAAACAGTTATTTCTTTAGATGCTCTGATTCTTTTCTCATCATTTGCACTCTAGCTACCCTGCTAATATTGTTTACTTTCGCTTCCAGACAATTCTAACACGGACTCCTGGCAAGGTCGATAAAATAATTGACTAATGACTGAGTCCAAGGGAAACAATGAGTTCTGTTTCCATTGCAGGGCAATCCTCATTGTTTCCCGTGAGGCCAGTCATTTTAATCTTTAAAGTATTTCCTCATATATACCTCCCTACTCGAATATGACTGCCAAAATTTACTTTTTGTACGCAGGCTGGCACACACATTATCACGTGAGAGTCGAAAGTTCAAGTTGTTGTTTCCCTGGAGGGCTTCGTGTTTCTTCACATTCCAGTAAAACGTGGGGGCGTTTGACTTTCTTTAATTGAGAAAAACCTCGATTATTCGGATCCTTTTCAATATCCGGACTTCTTTTGTCTTGCACGCTTTAGGAGTATCAATTAGTCGCATTTGGGATCCATAATAACTTTTCCCCACCAAACAAAGCTAAATTCGCCTAATGAAAAACAGCTGCAGGATGTAATAGGATGCAACAGAGAGAGATGAAAACTGATAGAATTGCCTCTCAGGTTCTAACTCCTACATTTATGAGTCGTAATTTGTAGATGTATCTGCCGTACCATACGTGTAATTATGTGTTCCTATTTCGGACCCATGCACGGATCCAAAAATCTGATAACCGAATATGGTAAGAAATATTTATTTATTCGATGCTTTAATTGTTTTCTCATCTTTTGCACTCTAGCTAACCTGCTAATATTGTTTACTTTCGCTTCCAGACAATTCTAGTACAGACATCTGGCAAAGTTGGTAAAATAAGTGACTAATGACTGACTCCAAGGGAAACAATGAGTTTTGCGGGGCAAGGGAAAGCAGTTCTCACTGTTTCCCGTGGGGCCAGTCACTTTAATTTTAATTTTTTTCAGTATTTTCTCATACATCTCAACCGAAAATGACTGCAAAAAAATTTTTTTTGTACGCAGGCTGCCGCACACATTTGCTGCGGTTTCACGGTGAACGACCTTATCACGTGAGAGTCGAAAGTCAAGTCGTTGTTTCCCTAGGGGCTAGTGAATTTCGTTTACCCTTGAAAGTTGGTGCATTTTGATTCACGGCTCGTGACATGTTCAACCCTCCAATCGAAAAAAACGTATTTGAGTCGGGCATTGCATATATATATTGCGCTCAAGAGCTTTAGATAAGTCAAGAATTACATTATGCTTTTAGCACCCATAAGCTACTTTTCCTTCAAGTTTCAGTTGACTGAAATCCCAATATTAGCAACGTTATGTGCCCCTTTGAAGAAAACGTTGCCGTTGTGGCGGACCACAGTAGGTTATGTAGGGGCTTTTTTCATACCGCATGTTTTTTTACAGTTAGGAGGCTAAAATGACCGTCATTCCATACAGATGGGGTTCTCCTATCATATCGAAGGTCTCTGTGTCAGAAAGTCGACTGAACTCACACGAGCGACAATCTCGCTAAGAGATTGAGACTGGCCATTGCTTGTTTAAAGACCATTGGTATCTATGTCCTCTCATTGATGCAATGCCGATGCCTCGATCGCGCGTACAGATTGTTCGATTGTTCGTAGAGGTAATCACATGATTTCGAGTGCAATTTGGAATAAATAAGCACGAGCAAGTTTTTTAAAAGACTAACAAAATTGTACGAGCCCGTAAGGCGAGTGCAATTTGTGGCCTTTGAAAAAATTAACAAGTGCTTGTTTATTCCAAATTGCACGAGAAAAATCATGTGATTACGTGTTAAAAATATACATGGAAAAATACGAGATGGCTCATCATAATTAAGCATAAGCAAAGCGCGCGCATCAAGTGCAAAAATTATTTATTCAAACCGTGCGTTCGGTCAAAACAACTGCGTACGATCAAAACAACAATATGCAATAATATCTTTACAACTTTAAGACGCAAAAAAGTTCAAAGTCCGGCTAAACAGTTCAAAGAATTGTTCAGTCTATGTCCGGATCCCTTTCGATAAAATGAAATCGTAGTATCCGAGGTTTAACCATGTTTGTTTTTAATTTCGGCGTTGGATCGCTCGAGCAAAGTGTTAAGCTGGGTCGGCTCGTAATTTTCGATTTCCTTGGCAATTTCCTTCTCTAAACACCACTTTTTCCAAACCGACAACCAAATAGCAGTGCTTTTTACAGCGTCTTCGTTGTTTGAGCTGTTTTTTTTTTCAGCTGCGGTGGCGAGAGAAAACCTACTTAAAACGCCGGCCATTGTTTCGCTCGCAAATTTTCAAATTTTGTTGCGACGTCCAAGACTCGCATTTGATTGGCTATTTGTGAATTTCTTTGATTATTGACTAATCAGAATGTCTGATTTATTACTTTCTTTGCACTAAATTAACCCTCTTCTGCATTAAATTAACTCTCTTCTACACTGAATTACCTGAAAACCATATTTATCTTAACCAATCAGAACTGAGTGATTTTTCCATGTATATTATTAATGATAAAATACTGAAAACAAATAATAACCACAACTCATGTCTGTTCTTTGAGTCAATTCTCGAGTGAGGATTGTTCGTTCATTTTTCTAGTTTTTTATTTAATCCTTACAGGCCTTCGGAAACGAAAGAGTTCTAAAACTAATCTGAATGCATCACCTTACGTAATAAGATTGAGAGATACATTGATCCGTTAGTTGAATCGACAAATTCTCACCTGCACTGATCTGTTAATAACGTCTTTCCGATTTTCGAGATCTCGAGGATGTAAAACATGGTCTGAGTCACTCAATTCACAGTAGTATGTTCCATCCCCCATTGGTCAAGTGTTGATCGACATACAATCATCCTCTAAATAACACTTTAATTCACAATCCTCCGACGATTCTGTCACATGTACGCTGATTACGTGATCGACAACCAAGGCGCTTCCTTCGACTGAGAATTCAAACAGTGGCGTGCGACATTCATCTAGTGATAATAAATGTATAGGAAACAAAATTGAAGATGGTATGCCTTTGATGCCTAATTGTTTTAATGATGTTATATTTTAGAGTGTTACTTTAAACATTATATGGTAAATGAAACATTTCTTGGTCGACATTCGTCATTCTAGCTCATTTCCTGTCCTGTGCTTACAAACCTGAATTTCCTTGAAAGATATCCCCAATCTCTGATTTATGATTAAAATACCCGAGGATTACGCAGAATTGTTTTATACTTCGGAAACTTTGACCCTAACATCCCTCGTCTCATTCGATCCCTTGACACGGACAATTGAGCTTTATCTAATTAGCTGAAAACGGCGAATAAAGGAGACGAAAGTATAAAGAGAATACGGAAACTTTGAGAAATTCTTAAAGCCAAACTCAAGCTTTCACGAAGGGCTTTCAAACTATAGTCAGTACTGGTCACTTTTTCGTTGCTATCAAGAACACAGATTTTTAGAGAGGTCGGAGTTTTGATATTTGTGACTATAGTCATTTTACCCTAACTTTTTCATTTACAAAACCACGCAACACTAGACAGATACATAATATGTCAGATTTGTCTAACACATGAAAGCTTAAACTGACATAAAGTGTGATCTACAGTGTCGGAAAACTAATCTAATGCAGTAACATCATTACTCATTCGAGGTTTTATAGGTTGTAGAGGGATTCATGAGAGGATCATGTTCTCCTGTAAATGAGAGAACCAAGGGTGAAATGATGTTCTTCATCTTC